GCCTAAACCTATGTATGATTTAATGCGTAAATTATTGCCAATTAATTATCGTTTAATATATTTTCAAAGATATTCGTAAATATAAATGTTTTCATTGGGTTTGAACTAAATTAACACTATTTCCTATCAATTAATATTTGTTTAAAAATAAAAATCATTTCAAATATACACTACTTGTCAAACAAATGATAAGACTATAAATCAGATAAATACTGATTAAACAGTGAATGAATAGTTTGGTTAAAATATTTTCCAGATTTTATATAAATATGTGTTTATTTGCAAAGAGATGACCAATAATTGGAAATACATTTCAATAAAACTAATCAATCAATTGCTAACCGATTAAAGAGTCACTTCTGGTCATAGTTTCCAATCATTTCTAATTTTATCTCATATTTTGTAATTAATTTCATTAAAATCTACAAAATTATATAAATTGACTCAAATATCACTTCAATTGTTCACAAAATACAGAATTCGCACAAAACTTGCGTAAAGTTTGTAAACCAATAGTGCATTGAAATAAGAGATTGTGAACGAGATATCAATTAATAGATATAAAACATATGACATGTCTTTGTAATCAAAACTATATATCAATTGTCTTAATAATTAATAAATAATGAATGGATTACTGTTTGAGTGGTTTGTTGTCCGGGAAGTGAAGAATAATCGTTACAAACGTTGACGAATGCATTCTCCAAGAGATTGGTTTGATTTGTATTCAATTTATGGATGAATGCGACCAAAGAAGTGCATGATTTGCATGTCTTGTCCGCTGAGGTGTTGTCCGCAACGGTTGGCAATGCGTTCAGACCTATGATTAACAGATACATCAGTCAATGGTATGCTTTGCAGCGTTCATACAATACAGACCATTGGTTAGAACCGACAGAACCGCTAAAAAGACGATTGATTTCATAGTTTCGCTCATTAATTGTCGACTCAATTGAAGGGAAGCGCAGAAGAAGTGATTGAAATGAATGTCTTCTCAATGTTTACAATAATAACTAAAGCCTTTCATATCGTGCAAATGCATATTTTTACCGGTTAGTTATATATGTTTGGGACTTTGGGGGCAAACGAATGACATAATAAGGGGTGTTTTGAAGAACTTTTATTTTGCATATAAATGCATATTTGGCTCATAAATGCATATAACTGCATATTTGGTTTAAAAGCATAAAAAGCATTGATTTGCTTGAAAATAATAACTAAAATGTCTAATCTATTAGAAAATTTACAATTATTTAAAATTAATTGCATAATTGAACCAAATATTAAGTCATTAAACAAATATCTATCTGATTAACATGGTATATTAATGTTAAAATATTACCTATTGTAGTTCTAGCAATTATTACAGCATTTAAAAATAAGCCATATATTTTTAATTTATATTTTATTTGTAATTTAGAATATTTAAATGAGTTTTTAGGGCCTAATGATCATTTTCATCATAACATTTCGTCATTTTGCTCATACACTATATTAAATAATATTAATATCGTATATTAACAGAATTATAAGTGCATATTTGAGTGCATATTTGGCCACTTTTTAGTGCATATTATATGACATATTTGAGTGCTTATAAATGCATATTTTGAAAGGCTTTAATAATAACAGTGAAACGAATCATACGATTGATAGTAAAGGCAAACAAAAAGGCAACCAATGAATGAATGAGTGATTCAGTGATTCACGCATTTATGGCTTATAATAGCCACTCATCTCTCGCTTTCATGCATTCATTA